CCTTCCAGCATGAGAGCCTCAAGGCCAGTTACAAGCACCCACAGCTTTCCTTTGCCCCCTCCTCTGCTCTAGTCGCACCACTCCTGACCCAAGGGAAGCTCTCCTCCTCCTCCTCCTCCTCCTCCTCCTCCTCCTTCTTGTCCTCCTCCCCTTATGCTGGCCTCCAGCATCAGCGGAACAGCAGAGCTGTTGGCTGACACTTCTTAGTGGATACTAAGAGACTGATTCCCAGATAGAGACAGATGAAACACTCCCAAGATGAGTGGTATTTTCTGATGCTCCATTTTTATTTCCAGGGAACCCATGAGTGTGGCCATTATACTAATGAGTCAGAAGACTCACAGGGCCAAAGCCCAGCCACAGACCTGGGGGCACAGTACAAAGGAAATGTTGCCAACAGCTTAAACAGATCTCTGCTCATAATCCCATCCACTGTACACTTTCTAAGCAGACAATATCTCAGAGTATGCTTATGAAATAATATTTTGAGGAAAAATTAAGAACCCGTAATCATTTTGGCACTTGGAAATAAATTTAAATCTATAAGCAGTTTATCAAAAAGTGGGCTAAGTATCTTATAATGAAGGAGAAAGCTATTCCACCTACATACAGAAAATATGTGTAGTATGAAAAGGTCGTATTATTTTAGTCAGTGGATACAATCTATTTTCCTGTGAACCATCAAGACACTAATTAATAAGTAACTGAGGTACCTCATGTCTGGCTACATCTTAAAGGTCCACCTGAGCAACACAAACAATATAAGCTGGGCATATTTCAAATGACTGCGGTGTCGGGCAAGGGGAGCAAAACACAGCACTCAAGATACCTCCCCTCTGTGGATGACTCCACACGTTGCTAAAACAGTATGTGCAACTCAGGCTTCAGTTGTATATAAAGCGATACATTTTTAAATTTTTAGTCCTTTATTTAGCCATGTTACCCATAGGTGCAACTTTTTCCTCATTCATTGAGGACATTAGCATTGTCGTCGTGGTCTGAGGAACTCTTTGCTTTTGCTGCAGGTGCCCCATCTACAACTCACGGTATTAATCTGCACATCCCTGTTCTTTTTATTTCCCGTCTCCTCCCATTCTGACAACTGAAAGGTACAGAAACTCCAGCAAAGAGTAAAAGAAACCTGTGAATTCCAAGCACACAAGCAAGCCAGTGACCTGATGCTTTGAATGATCAGAGCTTAAAATACACGGCTATTTGAAGGAAAACAGGTATTTGTGAAATGTTATAAAACTTATATCTAACTACAAAACCAGTTCTAATGATAGAGGAGTTCATGCAATACTACAAGTCAGTATTTAAAAAAGTGTACATAATGTCCCTGGAAACTGGTATTTTTAAAACATTTAACTTACAACTGAGTAAGCTGTAAGGTACACCAAGCTGCATGGTGCTGTCAACATGCTGGAGGGAACAGATGCTGTCCAGAGGGACCTTGACAGGCCTGAGAGGCGGGCCTGTGTGAACCTCATGAGGTTCAACAAGGCCAAGTAAAAGGTCCTGCACCTGGGACAGGGCAACCCCCGATACCAATACAAGCTGGGGGATGAAGGGATTGAGAGCAGCCCTGCAGAGAAGGACTTGGGGGTACTGGTAGATGAAAAGCTGGACATGAGCCAACAATGTGCGCTCGCAGCCCAGAAAGCCGACAAAATCCTGGGCTGCATCAAAAGCAGCGTGGCCAGCAGGTCGAGGGAGGTGATTCTGCCTCTCTACTCTGCTCTGGTGAGACCTCACCTAGAGTACTGCGTCCAGCTCTGGGGCCCTCAGCAAAGGAAGGACATGGACCTGTTGGAGCGGGTCCAGAGGAGGGCCACAAAAATGATCCGAGAGCTGGAGCACCTCTCCTATGAGGGCAGGCTGAGGGAGTTGGGGTTGTTCAGCCTGGAGAAGAGAAGGCTGCGGGGAGACCTTATTGCAGCCTTTCAGTACTTAAAGGGGGCCTACAGAAAAGCTGGAGAGGGACTTTTTACAAGGACGTGTAGTGATAGGACAAGGGGTAATGGTTTTAAACTGAGAAAGGGTAGGATTTAGATTCGATATAGGGAAGAAATTCTTCACTATGAGGATGGTGAGGCACTGGAACAGGTTGCCTGGAAAAGTTGTGGGTGCCCCATCCCTGCAAGCAAGTGTTCAAGGCCAGGGTGGATGGAGCTTTGAGCAACCTGGTCTAGAGGAAGGTGTCCCTGCCTGTGGCGGGGGGTTTGGAACCAGATGATCTTTAAGGTCCCTTCCAACCCAAACCATTCTGTGATTCTATGATTCTGTGACTGTTACTGGAGAAAACAAATATATTTACATAAACTTTGTTGTTAGCTTTGGAGGTTACAAGAGTAAGACAGACATATAACTGGCCAAACCTTTTACCTGCAGGTAAGCTCCAATAAATATGACAAAAACTGTAAATTATTCAAAATCATTGCTTTTAGGCTGATTCTCTAGGGAAGCTCTGTCCAGATCTTAAAACTAATTTATGCTTTTACATGATGCTGTTGCTCTATGCTACTTATCAGACCTGTGTTCGTTACTAAAGTGAAATAAACCCTTACCTAGCAGTTCCATATGTACAGTTGTACGCAACTGCTGAAAATTTCTGATTTTTAAAAATGATACACTATTGAAACAACATTTTCCTTTGCATTGGACATAAAAAGTGGCACACGATTAGTACATTTTCCCATGTAAAATTTTTTCGCAGAAAGTCAAACATCATCCTAGTTAGCAACATGACTTCTAACAAATTAATAAAATGCAGCAACTTCTAAAACAATTAATGAAAGATGGTTGCAATCAATAACACAGCTTCATACCTTTCTTAGGAGACAACAGAACTACATCTGGGTTTTATCCTAATCAACTGATACGAAGGTTAATCAACTTCTCATTTAATTTATTTTGTTTTTTAAACAAATCATAGTTTTACCCTTTCCTGACCTGGAAATTTAAAAGCACATTACGCATAAAAAGTTTATTTTGTCTGGTGGAAATGTATACAGGAGACTGCCAACAGTCCCTAGTGATCTTTCAGATACAAGTCTGGTAAGCTTGGAAAAGTGGACTAGACAAAAATGCAGAAGGCAAAAAAATTTTTACAAATTTAGTTTGACAAATCATCCAAATTATTTTACCAAATTACAAGCTGAGAAATTCTTGGTCATACATGAAACACAGTAATGTTATTAAATAATCCTTAAAAAACCATCATATAAACTGGAAATTGTATGAAACACTTTAAAGGACAAGCAACAGCAGTTTTTGCTGTTGTACAAAAAGGCTGGTGTAGCTATAACATGTTCTGCACAGCAATGTCAAGACACACATTTTCAATAGGCTTTCATGAATTCCTCTTGCTCTGCCATCACACTTAAAGGTCCATTTTTAAAGAGATTAGAGCACTTTTCCTGAATATGAGTCAGGTCAAAGGGAGTCTTACCTACAGCACTTTCTAGAAAATTTAGAAATAGTAAGATTAGAGAACATAAATCAAAACTATTCACAGATATGTGACATGCTCACACTCACTAAGATGGCTACTGATTGAAGGAAAGCAATATACTTTCCACCTGCTCAGATGACATCACATTAAGAGTACTACAGTGCCCCTTAGCTGGGCAGAGCAGTTTATTATTTCCAGCAACTGATTATTTAAAAAAACAAAAACCCCAAAAACCCCACCAGCTTCTGAGAGTACTCATAAGATGAGCAGCAGTGACAAAAGCAGCACTCTATGCCAAAACACTTTTAATAATGTGAGTTAAAAATGAAAGCAAAGACTCTAACTGTGAAAATTGCTAAAGGCTTGATTTGCTTTTGTGCAAGATACTAAAAAATGTTAAAATAAAGTAAGAGGAAAGACTTGTGACAGATATGGGAGTTCGAGACAGAATGCAAAGCTCCAAGAAACACAACCAAACCACTTCCTAAAGATTTCTATTCAGTATGTTGTTAAGACTCTATCTTAGTGAAGCGTATGTTAAACCAAAGAATAAAATAGCAGCCTGGGAAATTTCTTACAGCTTGCATTCTTTAGCTGGTGAAGTGAAAAACTGCTTATTCCTATCAAGATGAGATTCCTCTATCCCATGTGCTTCAATAGGGAAAAGTGCAGTTATGGCACTCTGGTGAGAAAATACTGTCCTTGACATCTTAAGAAAACATAAGTGCAGCTATTAATTCTATAATATCTTTGGGAAAGCAGAATGGACACCAGCTGTTTATCTCGACATTGCTGATGCACATGGTTACAAAAGTTCCCTTAAGCAATATCCTTTGCTGCTTTTTCCTCCTCTTTAAAGTTAGGTTCTTTCTATAAATGGTTCCTATGAATTTCAGTAAATTCATTTGGTGACAGAATCCAACCAAACAAACTGATCTTTGAGACAAAACTCTCACTTCCTGCTCTGCATACATATGATATTCTTTCAAATTCACATTGTTGTACACTTTGTTGCTTCTAATCTCATTGAACTACTTTGTTACAATTTTTTTTAACACAGATATACACTTAGAATTTCCATTTCTTATCATGGAAGCTCTACACACTCTCAGAATAGCATTTGACATAGGATAATGAATATGTCATTGAGGGAGACCAGCACATAGTGTTTCTGGAAATATTTGTCTGAGGTGTAGCAGGAAGACAAATTCAATCCCATAGTCCATTGCCTGCTAATGAAATTTCCTTTAGTTCCCGAAAACACTAGACATACACACAAATGCAACATCACTATAATAAAGCTCCACAGGTCAGAGACCTCAGTAATATTATCATTCCACAATGATTTGAATATCTTATTATCTTGATAACTTGCTGTGTCAGGCAAATGGCTTAACAGTATTAGTCTAATTCTATAAATTTACTTGAAGTCTGTAATTTTTCTAAGCTACCGCTTAAAATGAAATGCACTATACGCAAGGTTCCACGCTGACTCACTCAATGAACGTCTATGCTGGCATACAAACGATTCTCTTTTCTTCCTTACCTCCAGATGCTCTAAAATATAGGGAGGGTTTGTCATGCCAAGCCTTAGCATAGCTCCCTCAGGAATAGCTTCAACCAGCTTCCACAGAAGTGTAGGGAGGTCTGTGCCAATGTCTCTGCCATAAGCCCCTGTGTCTTCACTGGTCAGCCATATCTCACAAACACCCTCTGTGAATAAAAGAAAGAGATAATTAACAAATCTGGTTTAGAGCTGTTTATTTTATCATACAGCTGCTCACTCTTTTTAATGCAGTATTTCACAAGGCTATTATGCAGCCAGACTGGGTATTCAATTGGAAGGGGGAGGGAAGGAGGAGGAAGGCTTATCCCATGGGTAGCGGTGGGTTATTAAGTTCATTTTATGAGCACAAGAGTGCTACAACAATGCTGTAAATTATCATTGCTGTGGAGTGATTAACATTCACAGCCAATGACTAATTCTGTACTGCCTCTAGAGCAAGTCAGTCAAGTCTAGTACTCTGCTCTATTTTTTTGAGCCTACTTCATTAAACACTGCAAGCGACATTACCCAAGCAAAGAGTTTGCATTAATGGTTGCTACTAGTAGTTAACTTATTAACTGGTAAGCTTCCAATAAGCAAAAATAGCTCTAAAGCGCAGTGGAATAACTATTAAAAACTTGTATTCTTTAAGTGATACAATTAGCAATGCAATATTACGCTTGTATTGAAAAGGTTAGTGACCACTGCGTGACTGAGTGATAGTGTCGGAAAACCTGTTTCCTGGCAGCTAATACTTTATTTTCCATCAATCAGGGCCTTAGGAAGTAGTATATTTGATTTGTATTGTAAAGAGTAGTGACCTTGAACACTGATATTTGGTAATAATATCCTCCTGCTCAAAGAGGGGAAAGATTGCACCACCCTTTAATAATAGTTGAAAGCAATGAGGTTTCACGCACCCACTTCTACCAGTCTGCCCAGCTTCCATCCTTTTTGCAATGCAATCCATCTCCCGCTCCTCACCACCCCAAAGCAAGAAATAAGCCATCGAAAACAGGATGGCTGGGAGGAAGACTCCTGTGATTCCCAGTGAAATAAGATACCATTAACTCAGTGAAGAGCTAAATTTCTAATACCAATGATGAACCAGTAAAGAAAACGTCCAAACGCTAGAAGGTGCATAATTCATCAAAGCACTCTTTGGACCAGCAGAGAATATATCACAAAATGCAGATGTTTATATTACAAATATATACTTAAGGTGAGGAAACCAAACATGTACACAGGCTTTAACCACATAAAAAGTAACAAAAATGGAAAGCCAGAAATTTTACAGAAATTATTTAGAACTAAGAATACTTAAAAATGAAAGGTAAACCAAGAAACTCATCACTTTTTAAGTTTTGCTTCAAGAACAACTTAGTGAAAGAGACGCATAATTCTGTTCTTGTAAGAAGCCTGGTTGAAAGTATTCCTGAAGTACTGCTCTTTGGTTATCCAGCTTGCAGTCACAACTTTGTAGTCACACTCAAACTGAGCTCCCCCGTGCCTGATCAGGTATGCAGAATTTGCTAGCAGCATACAGTCACACCTTGGATTCCACTGCATTTGTTAATGTTTTCAGAATTCATCTCACCCCAGGCAGTACCATACTATGAAACATACCCTAGGGTTTGTGCCTGCCCTACATTTTCCTGAGATATGGAAAAAAGAAGCAAACTACATATGTTACATTTTAAAAATAAGAGAAACGTAAAGGATCTGAACGATGGCTAATGTCCTGTTGCGTTTTTTATATCTGTCTCCAATAGCCATTAGAACACTGCAAACCAGAGTCATGTACTTGCTGAGTTTCTACTGAAACAGAGTAATTCTCATTTTTAAGCTTTCAATCTAAATACTTGCGTGGGTTTTGGGTTTGTTTGGTTTTGAGGTTTTTTTGGTGTTTTTTGTTTTGTTTGGGGTTTTTTTTTCATGAAAATGGCTAATGGAATACTGCCTCACAGTTACCAGACGATCATTGAGGAAAAAAAAATAAATCACTGGCTAGGAATGGAAATAACATTCCTGTGGAAAACAACAGTGAGCTTTTAAAGCTGCATAGGTGGGGGCCATTAGCCCCCTGGTGGGCTGAAACTTCAAACTAAATCACATGAAGAGGATGCAGCTGTAATAGTAAATCAGCAACAACAGGAATAACTGTCTCATCTGCTCTCCGATCAGGGTGTTGAACAACAAGCAATGGGAATAATTCATGCTGAGAGAGCCACGGATGTAGTCTTAGTATGGGGGGGACACGTGGACGGACACCTGTATTTTAGAAGAAAGTTCATGTCCCAGTTTCAGGCAGACAAAATTGATCTTCAAAAACTGAAAGCTGCTATGAGTGCTAAGTATTTACAAGTAGGGTAAATCAACTTTGTACACAACTGTGTGTGATAGAGGTTTGATGCCAGTTGTTGTTAGGCTGTTTATTCCAGCCCTTTGCATCCTGAGTTTAGGAGTCTAAACTTACACCAGGTAAGAGGAGAAAACAACAGACCTCCCAAACAGTATTAACACAGTGAACCAAGACTCCCCATTTTCACTCAACCCCCTTCCCCTTCAAATTCCAGCCCTATATAGGAACCCATTTGAATCCACTGTTTAATCATGGACAGAATTTTTTCCTTTCTTTTGCAGTGAACCTCACTAGATCATTCACCATTCTGTTACTGGGTAATTCTGGTGCTAATAAAAGCAAGCTGATTTTGTAAACAAGAAAGTTGATCCAAACTGCAGAGTTTGGATGTGCAAACTCAGAGCATTTGTTACAGTATTAAGGCCAATTATCATTATATTCAAGTAATTACAAGTCTGCCTTCGGTCACAGCTCGTAGTTTATTTCTCACTCTGCCACCACCACCCAGCTCAAAAGAGTAACCTCAACAGCTGGCTTCTGATATCTGCTCTGCTGTAATTGGAGATGACTGAGAATGAAGAAAGTTGGAAAAAGAAAAACTTCCAAGTAAATGAAGGAGGTTCTGAGCCTACTCCTCCAACATTTCAATATAAAGAATACTCATTGCAGATTATCTGACATGGGTTTTACCTTCATTTTTGTGGGGTAGCCTAAACAACCTTGTCATAAAGAAGACAAGAAATCCTACAGTTGTCACTTTTACAAGATATGTGCATTTCTGTTTTAGAGACCGCTTGAAATGATTAATTTCTTTAATAAAAAATTTCTAGCATTTTTTATTTTGCTTTATTTTCATGTCACTATTGTAAACACTGTTTTCAGACGTAGCACACATCTTTCAAATTGAAGGGAAATCTACTCCATCTGAAATATTAATTTACTTCAATCTACAAAAATGTCTGAAGATGTTAAAATATTGGACAGCAATCACGCTGAAATTTTCCTATTTGTTAACCTGCTGTACTTTGTACAGACAAAATTCTATCACAAAATCCCCTTATTTTTTTCCTCCCCTTCCCTTCTTTCCTGTGAGATTTTCTAATGTGAGCAGGAGTGGCTTCTCCAGCAACACAATTCTCTGCAGGCTGCCTTGGTGGGAGACCCCCAACACTGACCTTCTCAGTAGCCCACATACACTTATCAATAACTGTCCGACCTCCTTGCTATTCCTTCTCCAATGGCGAATTCTTAGGGCAGCCCGCAGTGCTGCACAGACCATAGAAATACCTCTCCCACTGCACCACAGAAACCTGAAAGACCATCTGCCAAGGGGAGGTCTGACTTAAATGTTTGTCAAAAATTGCCTGCAAGACTTCAGGACAATCGGTCTGACCCTGCCATTCCTGATCACACCCTTAGAATTGAAAAAAATCATAGCCAAAGACGGAGAGAAAGGCTTGGAAAAATCAAATTCACTTTAAATGTGCTCATTGTTCAGAATGAGCTTACCCTACATAAATTTATTTTCAACTATATGAGTTTCCCCTTATTTAGTCAGCATGGATTTTACAGGTACTATTTACATACTTGATGCATGTGCTAGATTACTTTGCTGATCAGTGCCTCAACTGAGAAAGTGTGAAGACATCTGTGTACATACCCTATCACCGTATCAACCTGAATATAATGCAAGTTTAAACAGAAACTGAGATTTGCAGGAATCAAATTCCTCCTGTACTTCTGAAGCACTCTGCAAGCATTGATTCACCATGTAAGAGTCCAGGCCTCCTCTTAGACAGTCAGTTCAACCACACGGATCACCACTGAAAGATCCCATTGCAGGGACTTCCTGAAAGAGTAAATCAAACTGGGAGCAACTCACTGGTGCTAATGGAGGTTTGGAAGGATTTGTTCCCAGTTCACCAAGAAATCCCTATTTGATGTCTACATGCACAGGGCTTCTAGAGGAGAGTGAGAATGGAGGTACATACAGTCCTGTACAAATGCACTGTTATCCCAGAGTCAAAAAGTAACACACGTAATAGTCACAATTAGAAACTGCAGGATATCTGGCAAGCTGATGACAAAAGTAGACTGAAGAAAAAAGACAGGCCTAGGTACAGAGCTGGTGAAAGCAGCAAGCTGTCAGGCTATGATCTAAAGGATCAATGTTTTTTCAGTATTTTGGAAAGTGTGGGTCAGCTTACAATTCAGCAATATAACAACTGCAGCTCTGCTCACGACATATTACATACAAACTGGTCCCATCACAGTCTCATTTTTACTTTGAGGGGCAAAGCTCTAGATAAGTCTCTCACAGCCTGACTTTCTAGAGCATCTTTATTATGCCTGAACATATTTCCTCTTTTCAAAAGATATATTTTTTTTACCCTTCTGGACAGTCTTAAGGAAGTGAAAGATGACCGTCCACTCCTGTTTTCTTAATGCTTGCCACGAACAGCAGAACAAGATCTAAATGGCATCATGAATGTTGGCTGACTTACTGGAATGCAATGCTTGGAGAAATTACAAGATCCCCAAAACTCCTGTTAAAAGAGAAAGCCTAGCAAAAGGATGACTGGCTTAACCAACCCTTCACAACACAGGAGGAAGCAATGGCTGGTTGAGTGGCCAGGAAAGTCTGCCCAGCATTACTGCACTTCAAAATGAGGACCAGAAAACCATTTCTCTGAATTTTCACTATTAGAGTCATAATCAATAGTTTTAAAATAACTCTTTAATAGCATAAATTGCTTTGAAGTGTTGGTTAGTATTACATAAAGACCTGCTACACACAGTGACTTAATTTAAAAGCCTGAACAAATTCCATTTTATGTGCTCATCAGGAAAGCCAAAAGGTAAAGACAATTCCATACACACAGTGAAAATTTCTTTTTGTGGGATCACAGAATAGCTTAGATTGCAAGGGACCTCTGGAGGTCATCTAATCCAATCTCCTGCTCAAATCAGGTCCAATTAGACGAGATTGCTCAGGCCCTTGTGCAGGTGTGTTTTGAATATTTCCAAGGACAGAAATACCACAGCCACTTTGGGTAATCTCTTCCAGTATTTGACTAGCCTCAGGGTAAAATATTTTTCCTTGCACCTAATTGCAATTTCCTGTGTTCCAACTTGTCCCCTTACCTCTCATCCTATCCCTGCAAGACCTCTCTGACTACAACACAGTCCGGCTCTGCCTTCTCTATACCCTCCCATTAGGCAGTTGTAGACAGCACTAAGATCTCCTCCTAGTTTTCTCTTCAAAAGCTGAACAAATCCAGTTCTCATATGTCATGTGCTCCATCCTCCTAGTCATTTCAACATCCCTCTGCTGACAGTAGCCTTGTCCTGGGGTGCCCAAAGTTGGACAGAGCACTCTCTCTCTGTGAGGTCTCATCATTGCCAAACACAAGGCACTAGTCACTGTCCTGCGCCTGCGGCTGCACTCTGGCTAGCAGCGTCTAGGACACAGCTGATAATTGCAAAGGGCTTTCACTGCTGACTCATGTTCATCAGTTTGTCCAGAGGAACTCCAATGTCTGCAAAGCTGATTTCCAGCCAGTCAGCTCTCCACATCCATACTGCAGCATGGTGTTATTTTGTCCTGGATTCAGGACATTTTACTTGACTTTGTGGAACTTCATGAA